GGCGTCGGTAGCCTCGCCGCTCGATTGGCACTGCCTCATCTCGGCGCAGCCTGCCTTCTCGGCGATGTACTCGAGTGTCTTGTTCTGCACCTCGATGGCCTCGTTCTGCTTCTCGAGCAGCTTGGGCATCTGCTCCAAAACCTTGTTGTTTTGCGTGAGCAGCTCGATGACTTGGCTGTCCTCCGCGAGCTGGGGGCTCGACGCCTTGGGCGACGCCGTGGCTCGGGAAGCTGAAGCTCGAAAGCTTCGAAAGCTCGAAAGCTCGAAAGCTCGAAGCGCTCGAGCCAGAACGGTTGCGGGCGGGAGCAGGAGACTAGCTCGTTTCGCTGGATACATCCTCGAATACGTGCTCGTTTCGCTTGAAACATCCTCGAGCAAATCTGTCGTTTCGCTTGAGACATCCTCGACAAATCTTTCATTTCGTTGGAGACATCCTCGAACAATTGCTTGTTTCGCTTGAGACACCCTCGAACAAAATGTGTCGTTTCTCTCGAGACTTCCTCGACAAATCTCCCCTTTCGCGTGAGAAATCCTCGGGTATATGCTTGTGTCGCTTGAGACATCCGTAAGAAACGTGCTGTTTCGCTTGAGACGCCCTTCAGTGCGCTTGTTTCGCTGGACACATCCTCGAATGTATGCTCGTTTCGTTTGAGACATCCTCGACAACGTGCTCGCTTCGCTGGATATATCATCGAAAACGTGCTCGTTTCGCTGGAGACATCCTCGAACAAATCTATCGTTTCGTTTGAAACATCCTCGACAAATCTCTCATTTCGCTTGAGACATCCTCGAGTCTATGCTTGCTTCGCTTGAGACATCCTCGACAAGTTTTCGCTTCGTTTGAGGCATCCTCAAATAATTGCTGGTTCCGCTTGAGACATCCTTGAAATATTGATCGTTTGGTTTCAGGTTGCCTCTCGAAAATATTGGTTCCGCTTGAGACATCCTGAAAAAACGTGTTCGCTTCGCTTGATGTTGTTATCTCAACATGAGAAGGAAGTAACCTCGATGGCGAATTTTTCCCGTGATAATGAAGTTCGGCCTCCGCGCCCCCGCGCCCCCGACCAAACTCTTATTGGTCGACGATAATCAACTCTAACTACTGACGGGGGGGGGGGGGCATTATTGTCGTGGGCATGGGGTTAGTCGTTTCCCATTGTCTTCACTATAGACGGCGCGTCCGTCTACAGCGCCCTGCTCGCGGTTCTGGTCCGGCCGCCGCCCGAAACCACCATGGCTGGCCACCTGCGGCGGTTCGCCGACCAGCTTCGCATCGAGCCGGTCGACGGTTTACACCGGTGCAACACGCGGGACAAGCGGGCCGACCCCATGACCAAGGGCAGCATAGGCCGAGAGCTAATTATCAGGTTGATGGTCGGCCAGAAGATCAACTACGACCCCGCCACGGTCAAGTTCAGCGACGAGAAGCTGAAGAAGACCGCCCCGAGCTCACAGCATAGTTCACTCACTCAGAAATGTGGAAATGGCTCTCGCGACTGTTTCGCGAGGTCACGCGGAGTTGGGAAGCGGATGCATGACGTCAGCGGGCGAGATCAACAAGTTGAGCAGTCTGGCGATTTGGCTTGCCAGGGCTGTGTTTGGGCAGCTCGGAGATTTGAGGCAGTGTTCTTTTATACTTTCGCACTTTTCAGGTGGGGGATCGATCAGCCCGTTTCGGCTAGTCCCCCGGGCCCTGCCGGGGTTATTTCCACTCCTGCCAGAGGCGCCGTAACATGTTTTTGTGCGGTTGTCCCCGTGGGAGGGCAAATGTGTTTTTGGCGTGGAGCGAAGTCCACCAACCCAGGGACCTGCCGAATTCAGGTGGGCATATCCCCTCGCGGCCAGGCATTTGTTTGTCAAGGGGCAGTTTGTAGAGCCTTCCTGCGCACCTGTCTTTTGACAGTACGATGGGCGCACTTCAACACCAGTTTCGAATGGTAGGTTTTCTGGCTTTGCCTGTTTCTGGCCCAGCCTGTCCGCTGCCATGTGTGCTCTGGGGCCGGGAGGATATCCTCCCGGGGCCGACTTACACGCGCCTTACGGTATCTTCACGCCGACCACATAACATCCGCTTCAAAACAGTACATTCCTACATTCACTTCTCTAGCTTAGGCCTCCTGTTCCTGCTCGTCCTCCTCCTCTTTTCCTCTTCCCTTTCTGGGCCATCTGATTCGGATTGGGGTGGGGCTCGACGCCGAGGCTGGACGCGTTTCGAAATCCTGGGATGAGCACGCACCGGGAGACGACCAGAGCTCGAGGTAGACTGGAGAGGACGACGGCGACGTTGATTCATGCGGCACCTGGTCCAGCCTAGCTGCACAAGCGCTGCTTGATGCCAAGTATCCGAAAACCATGGCCTGTTCCACTTAAGCTCCAATGGGCCTCGCCTAGCACGGCTGAACCACATGCCCAGAGCGCATGTTGCCCCCATTTGCAGCCGTTGGCGTGCACGATGGACGCAGCCAGTTACCCCAAACAGACACGCCTACACCCCGCTTGCTCAAGTTGTTGGCAACACGCTGGTCGCCGCCATCCCCCGCGACGAGTAGCCTTGCGCAGCCACTTCCGATTTCCAGGTGGATGCCAATAACTTCGAGTATACCCGCGCAGGCCCAGAAAGCAGAATTTTTGGCTCGAAGCGATTGTTGTGGGCACTAACCACGGTTTCTGCCTCAAAGCGTCACAAACCCTATTTTCATCTGAGCCGTTTGTTGCCCTGACCAGCCGCGCCCAGCCCCATTAGTCCAGCTAGCCACCAGACGCGCTGCTTACTACGCCGACCAGCATTGGCAGTAAGCAACATTCGTCGATTGAGACCCTGGTGGCGGTCCCTAGCCCTTGCCAGAACCAGCCCATCCCCACCAGCGCAGCTTCGCCCCGAGAGCGGTTGTTGTTGCCAATGGTCCCCACTAGCGCCTGCTTCGGCCCATTAGCAGTGCCCTCGCGAATCTTCGATTGGCCATCAGTCGACCCTGTCTATCAGCAACCATCATCAGCGTCGGCGTTTTCGTCGGGCCGGTCGCGACTGTGAAATGATGTGTTCTGCCCCGTCACGTTGTTGAAGTTCAAAGCGCGGTTGCGAGATTGGTTGTGCCATTTTCAATGTTCATCTCGATGGTTTTTGGTGTTGCACGTTCTGGTCGAATACTTTGCGTACCCGTTTCTCTCGTCGCCTGAAAATGACTATGTCTTCGCCATTTGTCTCTTTCATCATTGCTTTCACGTAGGCGTAACAGACGCCTACAACCGCAGCTCGGAGGACGTCAACCAGCATTTGCAGGTTCCCAGCGCCTCAAAGCCTTCATTGGATACGAGCGGGCGGAAGTGACGTATGTCATTTGGTTTAACAACCGTAGGTGTACATATGTGGGGATCGTGTGGACAGTAAGGATGCCAGCCATGGTTCGATGAATGATTGGGCATCGAATTATGGACGATTTTGGTGATAGGGATACAATAGCCAGTGTAGATATGACTCCGTGAGAAGTGCTGGACAGCATGGGAAGTAGTGACAGTAATACCAAGAGTTGTGTGCAATCGTACAAGCAGGGGCCGCGGCATTGATGCGGTCCGGGTAACCATAGGGACTACGTTGTTAACAGGCTTGTGCGATGGAGGCCCTTGATATTGCCTCCGAGTTTCCGATATCCTGCCCCTTCTCTTCCTCTTCCCCCTCTTCCCTTCTCCCCTCTTCTCACTCGAATCGGAGCAGACGTGCGCGCTCGCTGCCATTTTGGCTTGCAGCGCGCACGCGTCATACCATGCTATAGCAGGAAAAGGACCGCCGCTGTGCTACTAACATTGCCGCCATGTCTTCTACCTCTCTCTCCTAATACCCGCATTTCCACTAGGTAGCAGAGCTGGGAGCGATCCCAGCTCGTGACCCACGGGCTGCGCAGAGTGTGATGTGGACGCACATCCGCACTTCCCACCATCTCTTCATTGGATCCACCCTCCACTCCCCGAACAGCTTGTGCTTTTGGCTGTTCGGTAACTCACGAGGACTCGCCTACCGCATCCACAGGCGCGATGTGGCAAACGCCTGCGACCGAAAATGCCCATGTGTTTGCTGCATCGTCTCTTGGGAGGCAGATGGCCCACTGCAAGGGTAAGCATACCCATGGAGGCAGCAATGCCTCAACCCCCTCATCATATTCATAGCTTCCGGTCAATGGCAGCGGGGCGCAGACTCTTGCGCTATACCGCACTAGAGGGCCAGTGCCTGGGCTCGGCTCGTGCGCGCAGTAGTGATGGTTGTTTGATTGGTAAGCACGTTGGACGCGCCGAGCGACGTCCATATTGTTCCCCCGCCCAGAGCCCCAGTATCATTACGATGGCTCCAAGTGTCAAGACGGCTTTCGCCCTTGCGCAAAATCGAGTCCCAAGGCGCCTGCGCAGCAATTTTGTGCAGAAGAATTACGTTGCTCGAAGTATTCCCAACTTGTCACTACCTGGCAGTATCATGATCCCCTCCGTCGTCGCCTGGAGGAGCCGGACGAGGCCTGGAGGAGCCGGACGAGGCGACGGAACACCTCATCACCAACCTGACGTCGCCGATGCATGTTGTTGCCCCGACTGTGGGCCGCAGCCGGCCAGACATGCATCCAGCGACTGCTGCAAACACCATGCCCAGCTACAGCCAGTGCGATGGTTGCGCCACACCCACTGCTGATTGGGTTATCCGTTTCATGTCCATCTTCAACCAGTTCGGCAGTTTCGACCTGCCGTCTGTTCCTCATTATGGGAACCATCATTGGATTATTGTTATTATTGTTGTTATTCGCGTGAGTTTTATGCTTGAGGCTTCTTCTTGACGAGCTTCAGCGGTGACTTCAGTACCGTTTTCACCGATTTTCTTCCACGATGGAGCGTTCAGGCAGGCCGACTGCACCTGCTAGTGTCTTGCTGGCTACTGCCTCGACGCCTTGGTACAGACTTTCCCTTCCAGGAATTAGGAAGTATCCGCGACCATTTGCCATTTGCCATCGCTACCACAGGCATGCAGCCATTTCACCCATTCAACAAGGTAGCAATGTTGATTGCGATTGACAGGCAATCTGGGCAGAGCTGCGCCACTCACTTGAATACAGGACCTGTTGTTCCACGTTCTGGCGCATGTTGTGCGCCGTGGCGCTCGGACGCACCACGCACGGAGTGTGTCGCTCCAGACATGTTGACACGTTTGTCGCGCCTTTGGACGCAAGATCACGCTCACGCCTTTCGCTGTGACAGTCGGTCCAGGCACGCGGCCATACGGCAATACGCGCGCCTTCTGCCACGTCAGAGGTGGACAGGGAAATGCGCGCGGCTGTCTCGTCAGTGAAAGCTGCCCTATCACTCAGAAGTCGCTGGTGGAGAGCACGCCTGCGCGCGCCCATGTGTTGCTCAGCGCGCCCACGGCATCGCCTATGCCCCTCTTGATGCAGGTGCGCAAGCACCGTGTGGTCGGCCTTGGCGTTCGCATGCGTTGTGCTACGCAAGCCGCGGCATCGTTTGCGCCTCGTGGTGCCGACGCGCGCGCACAGCGTTGCGCCCGCGCGCACTTGCGAGCCTTGCAGCGCAAGCTGGGCATCGGCACGCTCAGCTGTGCGCCGGAGCGCGCGCGGAGGCAGAGGCATGCCACGCCCGCGCGCAACCACCACGCGCTGCGCGACGCACGCCAGTGCACCCACCGCTGCTCCCGGGCGCGCGCCTTCGCACACACAACCTGGCGCGCCAGGCGCACCTGCGCCTGGTCGAGTTCGTTGCCAACCACTTCTCCAAGTGTCTGCTGGCATCGATGTTGATTTTACCTTACCACAATCAGGCTACAATCGGCTATGGCACGCGGGATGCAGTTCACAGAAAGGACGGGCGCGGGCCGGGTCAGCTGGCATGCTATTCCAGCCCGTGCGCTTGTTTGTCACATTGGACGCATTTCTTTGTTTTTCCATTTCGATCGGCCTACTCTGCCACATCACCGCCTCAGCGAATTGGAACCGCTGGGGCGCATGCCAGCCGGCGCGGGCAGTGCTACCTCATTACGCACCGCCCCCCAGCTGTGCATTCAGCATCCGGCGCGATCTGCTTGCAGCATGCAACGTGCCGCGGGCCCAGCATTTGACTCGTCCAGGGCGTTCCCGCGTGCCGGGCCGCCGTCCGGCGGAAGGAGTTCCCCGTCGAGGTCGCGCCGACCGGCTAAACAGGTCGGCGCCCCTCGCCCATTGCGCGCCCCGTCGGCCCGCGCCGCTCGTCTCGTGCCAGATCGCGATCAGCGCCTGCAGTTGAGCCGGCGCCCGACAATCCAAAAGATCGAGCTCCACAGAGCTCTCTGCCTCATTCCCGACAGACCGCAAGATCCACGCAGAGCCGAGCAAAATTTGCTCGCTTCCTGGACGCACGCATATTGGCTTGCAATTGAAGCTTGCGTTCATGATCTTCGCCGCGATTTCTCGCGACGCATGAGTTAAGTCCCATTGGGCGCCGCGTGGATTTACGCGTCACATCTATCCGCTGTCTGGGCTGATATGGCGTTTGTCTGTTGACGACTCCGACGACCTAGTTCTCGAGATATGCGTTCATCTCAATGTCACTTTGCATGTGCATTCCGGCTTTCTGCTTCCTCTCAGCCAGCAGGCATTACATAGTGTTATACCAGGATGTTGTTTTCCACGCTCGCTGTCTACGGTTGCAAGCGCACGACCGCTGGGTTGCGCCCAGGGCCAGTGGACAGGCGCGCGGGGCGCGTCCGCGCACCGAGCCGCAGCGCCCCGCGCACGTTTGCGCGCGTTTCAGTTTGGACAAGAATGCGCGCGCGCGCCGGCGCCCCCATGCCCGCGGCCGCGCGCCGCAGGTTGCGCGGACGCCCATTCAAGGGCCAATTCATCAGTCAGCATCCTCTTCCACCGCGCCGCGCACCACGGAGCACCCGCCGCCGCTGGGCGCGCTGGAGGACGCGGAGGACTCCGAGCGACAGATGACGCAGAGGACACAGCAAGCCCGGGGACGAGGAGGCCGACGCGAGGCAGAAGACGAGGATGACAATCAGGACGAGGGGGCGGATGCAACGAGGACGCCGCGGGGGGGGCGAACGCGTGAAGGAAGAGCGAGGTAACGCCAGCACGCGGCCCATTCAGATCCGCTCAATTCTGCATCTGACCAGCCTCCCCATTCTCGCACTCACCAACCGTTCTCTTCATCCTGATGCCTCCCACAGAGGCGGCCGCTGGCCGGGCGCCCATTTCGCCGCGACCAACGCCCGCCGGCAGCCGCAACCTCCACCTGCAGTCACCAGGCGAGACGGGCGGTGCAAAACGCCCTTGTTATGATTTCCAGTCAAGCACAGCGGGCCCATTGCCGCGCGCAGCAGCCATGGCCCGAAGTTGTCGGCGCGGCCCCGGCGCGGCACAGCGCGCCCGATGACGCGCTCGGCGGCCGAGGGCGCCCCCTGGCCAACACCCTCTGAAGCGCGCATCGGCGGCCCACGTGTCAAGATGCAGGCGAGGCCACTCACTGGTCAAAGCCAACGCCGCCACGATGCATTCACGCTCGCGTCCACTGCGACATCACGCTCGGGATCGACTACCAGCAGACAGCAGCAGCGCTGCGCGCCTTCTGCGACCTCTTTCAACGCGCTGCGACCACTGCTCGGGCAGGGCCACGTCAGTCCTGACATCCCGCAGCCCGCGCTCACGCACAACGGCAAGGATGACGGCGACGCGCTCGTCATCGTCGACGAGTCGCAGCCGACGGCGCCGCCCAGCAGGGCCACCACGGCGCGCGCGTCTGACGGGCCACACCACCGCGCAGCAGCCGTGATTCCCCGCGGGCGCGCGAAAGCGCGCGCGCAGCAGCGCAGCCCCCAATGGCGCGCTCCACCGCGCGCTGCGCGACCCACGGACGACGCCATCCTCGGCGGCGCCGCAACTGGCGCGCCGCAGGTCTAGCGCGCGCACCGCCGTTTTGCGACCCACTCAGTTCATCGTTCGCAGAAGGGCCCGAGCGCGTCTGCCATGCGCGCGCGCCGATCCAGCGGCCAGCCCTCGCTGGGGGCGCCACCGCGACACCTTCTCCGACCCCTCCCCCTCCGTCAGGCAGGAGTCGAGAGAACCGCGTTACTGGAAGTTCAGAGCCCAGATACCCGCGCGCATCGTCAATGCGAAGATGGGCGCGATTCCACTCTGACCGGCTCCCAGAAAGAAGAGGGATGTGCCAGATTATTACCCAGGTCTGTTCAGCCCAACAGTTCGCCCTCCCACGCCAGCGCGCGGACCCGGCGCCGGGCTTGCGGGGTGAACGAAG